ATATTGCGTTTTAGAGTTATGATTTAAAGGAATTGAGTAATTAGGACTTGAAATACTTTTCTTGGCTAGTAGTAAACTACATAATTCAGGTTTTACACACCTCAAGCTCAATAATGCATTAAATGTTGTTCAATGTTTTCCTCAAAGCTCTTAATATCAAATGCTCGCCAATCTGAGAAAAAGGCTCACACATTTTCAGTACAATTTATTCCAAATACTTAAGTCATTCTAAAAATGCTCTAGTATCTCATTTTTTTTCATTAAATATGTCAAGAAATCCTTGCATTCCCCTAATCTTATCTACAACAGCTTGATGGGGGGAACAGAGAGGACACTGCCAGCTGCCTTCTTGAAAAGCAAGATGTAAGGATACCTGTAAGCCATGAGCCACATGGCAAACTATAGATTTATAGAAATGGGTAATTTAAGAGGTAAGAGCTAGCTAGCAAGAATCTTGAGCCAATAGGCCATAAAGTTTGTAATTAATGTAAGCTTCTGAGTGATTATTTTATAAGTGATGGCAGGGTCCGTGGGGCTGGGCCGGACTGGAGCAAACTTCAGGTACAACACCTTCTCTGTGTGAACCACTACTAAAACAAAAAAGACCAACTTTTTCTTTGCTACCTCGGATACATTTCCTGTGCTACTGTGAAGCAATTCTTAAACTCTACTTTGTAGACCATCACACCTTCTACTGTGACTTCTGAATACTCAAACTGAAAGTTCTGAATACTCAAATCTTTCCTTTAACCAGAAAAAACAGTTTCATGCACAAATGCCCTTTAAGATGGGCTGTGCACTAAATAACCCATCATGAGTTGAAAATATTGTTTTTTGGTTCTTTTTTTTTTTTTTTTTTGGTTTTTCGAGACAGGGTTTCTCTGTGTAGCTTTGCGCCTTTCCTGGAACTCACTTGGTAGCCCAGGCTGGCCTCAAACTCACAGAGATCCGCCTGGCTCTGCCTCCCGAGTGCTGGGATTAAAGGCGTGTGCCACCACCGCCCGGCGAAAATATTGTTAAGTAAATGATGCTATTATGTAATATGAACAGAATCAGTGAGAAGAAGGCAGGATGTAAGTATTATTAAAGTGTTGGTAGGGATATCATCAATGTCTTACATAGCATATACTAAAAGTCTCCTTGAAAACTATGATATGGTACATCATTTAATATGCACTAATTTTGAAATGTGCTTAAATAATTTTAACTCTGTTCATAGCTGAGCTGAATATACTTTAAATTTGCTCAAAAACTTGTATAAACTTATGGCTGAGTAAAATATCTAACACAAAGCCTGTTTAATACATGGTGTACATATAGTGAATAGGAGCAGAAGCTAAATTCCACTTCCCAGGTTAAGGAAAATATCACATATCACTAGCCTGGGAAAATACCCAAATTAAACATTCAAAATACAATTTCTATTGAACTCACAGTACTGCTGCACCACTGAACAATCTAAAGTGTTGCAGGTAAACTTAGAACCATCTATAATTAATAAAAAGAGAGGGGGTGTTATGAATAAAGACTTCTTCCTGCTGTAAATTTTTCTTCTCATCTTTTTTCAAGAAATTTTTGAATTAATTCTCTTCTCTTATTTCATCCATTTCCCTTACATGTTCTATACTTCACTCCATCTTTTCAGAGAAGGTCGTCCTCTAAAATATTGCTAAATTCTATACAGTTGGGTAACTTTCCTATTTCCAGCAAATACTAGCACTCACTCAAATACTGAGACTCACACCTTTCTGGGGAGTCTTCTTTTTCTTTTTCTTTTCTTTTCTTATTTTTTTTTTTTTTGTGTGTATGGTACAGAGTAAGTGTGGAAGTCAGAGGAAGACTTTGGAAGGTTTTCTCTCCTACCATCTTATGACTTCCAAAGATCAATCCAAGATTATCAGACTTGGTCGAAGAAGCCTTAACTCATGGAGTTACCTCACTGTCCTGATTGGAGGAACTTTTCTTCTTAGTTGTGGGTGGTATACATTTATTCTGATATCTTATTCTTGCTGTCACAGTCATATGTCCGAATAGTGATTCAACAAAGTCTCCTAGGGTCTCCATAGAAACTTTGCTAGTTTTTCTAATCCATGCACAATTTGTGACTCAGCCAGCATCCTCAAAGAATTTTAATAAAATAATGAACAAAAGAGAGGAATACATTTTTTAAAGGTACATATTACATACTTTGTTTTTTGCCTAATCCATACTTCCATTATAGGGATTTAACAACAGTGTCGTATACTTCATCATATCAAGCTTCTGTGTTAAAAGCTACTCATTAAAAACACAGGAGTTGGAGTGCTAAGATGGAATCGACATTCTGGAGAAAGAAAATTGGCTCCTGCGTATTGTCCCCTGAGCTGCAGCCACTCACCATAGCATATACACACATATTTGGCAGAACTCAGGGACTCCTACTGAAGGAGGAGGGGAGGGGAGGGCGCCACAGGAACAAGGCCCACAGATTCAACTAACCAGGGCTCATAGGGACTCACAGAGACTGAACCAACAGTCGGGGAGCCTGTATGGGTCTGAGCTAGGTCTCCTGCATTTATGTTAAATTCTTGTAGTTTGATGTTCTTGTGGAATTCCTAAAAGTGGGAGCAGGGGCTATCTCTGACTCCTTTGCCTGCTCTTGGGACCCTCAACTAGCCTTGATATGAGTATGTGTGTCTAGTCTTATTGTAACTTGATACGCCATGTTTGGATCATATCACTGAAGGTCTTCTCTTTTCTGAAGGGAAATGGAGGAGTGGATCTGATTGAGGGGAGGGAGGGACTAGAAAGAGTGGATGGAGGGCAAACTGTGGTCAGGATGTAATAATATAAGAGAACAATGAATTAAAGAAGAAAATTTAAATATCTTTCAAAAATAATATATATATATATATAATTCAACAAAAGTATACTGACTTTTTTTTTTTAATTTAAAGAGGGTTTCTTCAATAAAACAAGGATCAGATATGAAGGATATGTGAATTTGCACTTCATGCCTTTGAAAGCAAATGGCTTAAAGTAAGAATGGTTGTACTAAAAGGATAAAAGAAGAAAAATTGGATAACAGCTAAGTATGCTATTGGCAGCTACAGCAATCCTATTATAAGTAAAATAATATTTAAATCTTCTAATCATTTAACTACTTGAATGTCCTAATACTATCAAAAAGCCCTTCTTATCTCTCCAATGCCGTCACATGTGCTAGGCATTTGTAAGAGTATTAAGGCTTCACTATCACCATAATTAGACAGACTGAAAAAATAGTACCTCCTTATTTGGCAACTCCTGATTATTCAGAGTGAGGGCAGAAAGCCTCAGCATGGATTACTAAAACCTGAGGTCATTCAGAGCAAATGAAAATTATCCTGAGCTCATTATGTCTTTCCCGTTGAAATATAAGTGCATCTATGAGCTTCAATAAAATTGCACTGATACTCTAATAAACATTCTTCAGTCTATATAGAGAATCTTGAAAATGGAAAAAAAATTAGCTACAAGTAAAATAAGCCAACATCAAAGCCTCAGAATAGTTGTTTAAAATTATCCAAAGTCTGAGCAATAGGAATATTGATATTGGGGTTTATAAGCCAATTTGGGGGATGGGGAGTATATGAATGTCAATGGTATTCACAGAGTAAAAGATGCACTTCAAGGGAACTTGCTTACATGGCCAAAATAGGTAAAGCAAATACCAGCAAACACTTTCTATTTGATTCTATATAGTGTAGTAGTAGTCTTCAGGGTGTATCAAGAATTCACTTAAGTATCCCTTGCAGTAACTGACAACTGTCATGATGAAATATCGAGGTAATTGCCCTGAGACAAAACTGAGTAATATGACATACTTTCCATTTTTATAATTATTACAGTTTTGTAGTGAGTAGGTATTTATTATATTAGAATACATAAATCCTGTTAGTGTGTAACTCAAAACACATCTTCAAAATGCAATAAAATGCCAAAAATATGATACTCTTGAACCTCTATATTTTATAGAAAATATCCCAGATAATTATGCATTATAATAAAACGAGAACGTTTTGGAAAATACTCTTAATTAAGTTTTCAAACATTTTGTGGTGTGTGTGTTTCCATATGTATGGACTCTTTTTTTTTTTTTTTTTTTTTTTTTTGGTTTTTGGAGACAGGGTTTCTCTGTGTAGCTTTGGCAACTTTACTGGAACTCACTCTGTAGCCCAGGCTGGCCTTGAACTCACAGAGATCCACCTGCCTCTGCCTCCCACGTGTTGGGATTAAAGGCGTGTGCCACTACCGCCTGGCTGTATGGACTCATTCTTGTGGTTGTGTTCCTGAATGAGGAGGCCCAAGGTTGAAGCAGAGTATCTTCCTTATTTACTTTCTATTTTGTATGTTAAAGAAAGGCTCTTTGCTCACATTTTTGGGTAGTGTAGATACCCAGTTATCCAGTTTGTTCTTTTTTTTTTGTCCATATCTCCTCAAAGTCACAATGATTACCAGCAAGACACTATGCCACCAAGTGTGTAAATGCTGGTTGAAACTCTTACTACTGTCCTCATACTTGTATGACAAGTACATTACTGCTGAGCCAGCTCCCTATCCCTTAGTTTACAATTTTAATAATAAAAGTTGGAAACTTTTATGTGTCATACTGGTCTATAATTATATATGATTGTTGTATTTTTTAATATGATTTCACCAGTAAAGAGTAAAAAATGGACTTATTGGACTGCTTCCATTGTAAACACATAAATGTATGTGTCTTTTATAAAAAAAATGTGTTGCAGGCTCCAGTAGCATAAGGGCCATTAAAATATGTGCATTCCATACATGTTAATTTGAACATTTGATTATCTGGATGGTCTGATATGCGTGATCAGGAAACTTCTGGGAAATTCTGTAATTGATGCAAAGACTGTCTTCTCTGTAGTATGTGTATGCTAGTCAAAATAATACATTATTCACAAACAAGCCCTGCCTCTGTTCCCAGGAAAAGCTTAGTCTCTCATTTCTCTTGACAGTGTGCAGACCTGGGTTCTTCAAAGCTTCTCCTCACAGCCAGAGCTGCAGCAAATGTCCACCTCACAGTTACACCCATGAGGAAGCTTCCACCTCTTGTGTCTGTGAAAAGGATTATTTCAGGAGGGAATCTGATCCGCCCACAATGGCATGCACAAGTAAGGAACCCTGTGGCTATTTGGTGATGCTCCCTTTCACCAGTTTGGAGAAACGGCATGATGGAGCCTGTTGTGCTTTATTAATACTGCCCTCTAAAACAGGCATGTTTCCCCTTCACAGTTCAGGTCTCTCCCCACATTTCAAACTTCTTTCGAATGCATTGAAAAATAAATGTCCTCTTACGACTGACTATCAGAAGCATCCTTTCCCCTCACTTCAATTTCAACAATCTGAGGCACTAATAAACGATTCCTCTTATTCTGTGCTTTAATTTAGCAGTCTTGACTTCAGTGAATCTTTTTGTCTTTTCACATCAGATTTGTTATCTACTTCCTTGGAAGACCGTTTTCTGAACTTCAACAAGTTCAACAAGTTCTAGCCTACATAACTAAGCTGTAGGGTGATCCATAGGCCTACAAAACTGCACATTGCAAAATATACAGGCAGTGTCAAGAGCATGACAAGCAAGGTGGACAATCAGATTAGAATAATCTATAAAACCCAACCTCCAAGTCAGGCTTTCATGCAACTGCAATGTGTCTTCGTAGCCAGAATCATTGAACCATTATCAAAGCTGTCATCATGACAGAATGACCAGTACATAGATAGTAAGCATTATTTTCAGTATTTCTAATGCTTAGATGCACATTTAGCCAAACTATATTTTTTCTAATTTTAACATATTTGAGAAAAACTAATGTGGCTATTTACACATTTGCTTGTTTGTGACTATACTTGCAGATATTTTTCATTAGCAAAGGCTCTGTAATAAGTGGGGAAAAGTAAGTAAAAAGAAGGAAATGTGAACCTCTTGGGCCTTACCTTCACTTTACTTGTTAGTTCCCAGTTAACAGTATGTACACTCAATAATGTTCACAAGTCTATAAATTTTGTCATTGATCTGTAGACAGAAAACAGTATAGATGACTTTTTATAAAATAATCAGAAGTTGATCTTAAACAAATTTCAGTGTCCGAATTTCATCCAGAACTGAAAAATCATGCTGTAATTCAAGGCTAATGATTTTGTTGACCAAAATGATTACTAGTATCAAAATACCTTCTCAATGAGTTACATTGTACTATACACAGTTTTATCATGATACTCTACTGGAATGATACAATGTTTTGTTATAGTGGAATTCAAACAGTGTTTAATATGTAAGATGCAAGAATTATCAAATAAAAGGAAATGGGTGGACCAGTAAAGAGGGGCACCAAATCATCTCACATATTTCACAAAGTTGTGTATTAGTAGACTCAATTGATCCAGCCATAGTTTACATCTTTTTAGCATAAATATGAATGTACACTTCTGTTTATTTATTTATTTTGGGACTCAAGGGGAAGGCTATGATTTGATAGTAAGAACTGCTTAACACTCTGTTGGAACTAAAGCTCATAGACTTCACATTTTCTCCATCTTAAGCTCTGTGAATTTCTACTATTGTGTTCAAACGAACAATCCATATTTGTTTCTCACAAAATGTCACTTTGAGTGTGTGTGTCTGTTTTTAGTTTGATTCAGAGTACCACAACCGCTCATGATCCCTCATGGCTTGTCTGATGTTCAGAGGGAGATCTTGAACTTTGTTCTGCCATTGGCACTTTGGACTTGTATTTATGATTTTAATTCCTTTTAATATACAAACTCTGGACACAGAGTTTTATGCATCTGTAGGACAAAAATCAAACAGAATGGAAAACCAATAATCTAATGAATATACTTGAGGCCAGAAATCCTTCTCTCAGCTCTACCATGGTCCACACATCATATTTCCTGATGGGGCAATGGCATGTTTTAGATGTAGGCTAAGTCCAATCCTTTAATTTTCCTTCTACTTCATAGTATCACTTGAGTTTGGCTCTCTTGGTAACATGTGACCTACAGTTGTGGATGTTATTACCAGAGTTATAAGTAGAAGAAGTCAGACAGGTGCACTTCTGCTGATTTAGCGCAAAGAAAGACATGCAAGCACAATTCAGCTTGTAGCAAAAACAGTGGAACTTGACACACCTCAAGTACATTTCATCTTCTTTTTCAAATGTTAGGCCCATTATGTTTTGTTACTTGAAATTAAAACACCTCTATTTGTTATTAAATAATCCAAAGTTTGTAATAAATAATAATACTTTTACTTATATCTCTAGAAATGTTTGTGGCTTAAAAGTGACTATTGAGATAGAAATGTGGAAGACGGCCTACCAAACTTCCTAAGGTTCAGTGATGGGCATTTCTGGGAGCATTTGAAGGAAGCAAGTCAAACCCTTAGATATAGAGTTGTTCTATATAAATGTAATTGTAAGGATCTCTTAAATATGAGTTTTCATTTTAAATTATTTTTCAATATGTTTATCAACGTGATAGATTAATATTGGGTTGAAATAAACATTGAGACATATTTGGAACACACACATATTAAGCTAACTTAGCAAGATTATTTTTGAGGAGTTTAATTCATGCTTATAATCCATTCAAATACAAGAAGACTAGATTTTATCACCGTTACAAAGACGTACTAATTAGATCTTTGACAGGCAGAGGTACTCACTTTGATACTAAGACAAACATTAGATTTCAAACAAACATAAGCGCAAGCTTGTTTGAGAACACACCGTCACATAACATTTAAAGCTGACTAAAATTTAAATATTTAAAATTGAATTTCTAGAAATTTATTTTATTTCTTCTTTGTGCATGAATAATTAGGTTCTGAAACAGTTAAAATAATATTGACTGTCGTTATCATTTAGTCAAGAAAGCTTTTAAGCAACCAAATCTGTATATGTATAAAAATGAAATGTGTAATAAAACTGCATGAGATTAGAAAAACTGTCACAGTATTACTCTAAGATGATAAGTGTCTTTGAAAGTATTTTAATTGTATGAATTTCTTTCCGTATTGTGGAGGCAACGAGACTGAAAATATTCTGTAAAACTGAGCCCTTTGCCCTCATCTTCCATCATCTTTACTAGAATTTCTAACCTCAGTTAAAATTCTGAAGTTGAATTGCTGTAAGTGAAAGGACCTAGTTTATAAACAGTGGTCTTGACCTTCAGCTTTTATCCCTGAGCTGTGTTCTCTCATGAGTGTTTCAAACTCTGTTCGCTTTCTACACATTCAATTACTTTCTAATAGAATTCATTGTCAAGAGTCATCCAGAAAATTTCTCCTTTTACTATGCTGTTGTTTAACAGAGAATTCATATTTACTTCCAACTCTCACAGAGGAAGCTTGTTATTCAATGTACAAAGAATCAGATTTACTATGTTTTTAAACATAAAACTTTATGTAACATTTCTGTCATTACATAGATTTATTCCATAGCTATGAACATATATATTAATAAAAACATCTTATTCTATTAAAAAAGTTTATAACAGTCAAAAAGTAAATGATTTTTATGTTGTATAAACACTACTGATTCTTAAAACTTTAATTTTTTAATTGTTATAAAATATCACATAAAAATTAATTATAAATTTAGCTTTTTCCTCTGGCCAGGGATTAGTTTGGTCAAAGACAGGAATTAATATCATCTTAAATATGTTTTTCTCACTTTACTTTGCAAACCAGGACCCCCCTCAGCTCCTCGGAATGCCATCTCAAATGTAAATGAAACTAGTGTCTTTCTGGAGTGGATTCCGCCTGCCGACACGGGTGGACGGAAAGATGTGTCATATTATATTGCATGCAAGAAGTGCAACTCCCATGCAGGTGTGTGTGAGGAGTGTGGAGGTCATGTCAGGTACCTGCCCCAGCAAATCGGCCTGAAAAATACCTCTGTCATGATGGTGGACCTACTTGCTCACACAAACTATACCTTTGAAATTGAGGCAGTGAATGGAGTTTCCGACTTGAGCCCAGAGACCCGGCAGTATGTGTCGGTAAATGTAACCACAAATCAAGCAGGTAAGTGTCATGCCCAACCAATCTATATATTTTTGACTTAGTTCTGCCAATTACATCAGCAGCTGAGGACTTAACAGATGTTCTATGAGAGAATGCATTAAAAGAAACTTTATCTCAAATATACCTTAAAAAGGAGTTAAGGCTTTCTTAAGTGCAAACATCCATTGACAAAAGACAGGAGAGGTATGTTTTAATTCATTATTTCATTAAATATACATTTCTGGAGTAATTCCTTTTACACCTATAATTATCATATCTATGATATCTATATATAGTATGTTTCATGTTGCAAATCTACATTTTTGTGTTGCTTTGTTAATGTCAAGAGTTCTTTTTAAAATTAATTTGTATAGCATGCTTTATTTGCTGTTTTACTTCTTATTTTACACCACAGTTGGATTTTTTTTGCAAGTTATAATGGTCTTTTTTTTCAATTTTATTCAAATATATATGAATTGAATTTTTTTTTTGCCAAATCCACTTGTAGAAATAGAATAAATTTTAGGTGCTAGAAATACTCAAAATACATCTATTTCAAGTTGCATCTTGGAATTATAAAAATGTAAACTTTGTAGAGGAAGATATAGAGGCCTGTTTGAGCTGATGATTCCTTTGTAGGTCTGTGTATGTTCTCTTTTACACTAATCAGCATGGAACTCTTGCCTCAGAATTCAACTCACTAGGTGATCAAAAATCTCTAGGTATAAGAAAGCATTGAGTCGGGCGGTGGTGGCGCACGCCTTTAATCCCAGCACTCGGGAGGCAGAGCCAGGCGGATCTCTGTGAGTTCGAGGCCAGCCTGGGCTATCAAGTGAGTTCCAGGAAAGGCGCAAAGCTACACAGAGAAACCCTGTCTCGAAAAACCAAAAAAAAAAAAAAAAAAAAAGAAAGCATTGAAATCTGCCCCTGTGCTGGCACATGACAATAGTCACAGTAACCATCACAAGTATTCAGTAATGTGAACTGTCATCTGAACTTGAAAAAAATGCAGACTTTAATGTTATAGTCTCAGGCTTCTAAGGTAAAATCTTTAACTCTTTCATCCATATTGGATTCTAAAATGAGCTAAACAATACCATCTTGTAAATAATGAGACCTCACTAAGATGTTCTTCATTGGGAGAAAATTCAGTAGTTTGCATGATCTTAACATCTTTATAAGCTACTTCTTGGTGATAAACTACATGAGAGAATGACTATTATTTTAGGCATGTTACCAATGAACAACAGTATATTGTAGTTGTCTGATTTACTGGCATATTCTGATTGCAGTGTGTGTGTATTGGACCTTTATTGTGTAAAATAGCAAGGAAGTTACTATCAGCCAGCAGCCATGGCACATCTATCCTGTGATTTGTCATCAGAGAAGATATAAATGTCAATTTATGCCTCGATGTCGCAGTACACTAAATAATATAATTTATTTAAATATTAAATAAATAAAATCACTGCAAACATATCCCTCAACTTTAAAATACTGTTTTTCTCAGCGTCACTAATTTATGTCAAAAAGTATCATTTCCACACAAAATGTCAATTTAAGAAACTTTAAAGAAGTCTTCTATTTAGTGCTACATTGACTGAGTCCTCTAGTACTAATGTTACAGGAAGTAGGTTTTGTAGTTAGATTTGATAAGTGTATTATTAAGCATTCAGTTTAATGACAGTTTTTATTTTTTATGCAAAAATACTTTTTAGCAAATTTTAACTTAAATTTTTAATTTCTCAAAGGGTTGTTTTTCAAAATGTTTGTTTCTTTTGTGTAATGTGTTTCTTTTAACACATTACAAGTTTTATTAACCTCAACAGATATTCTGATATTTTCTAATTGATATGGTTTGTGTGCTAGTAAAACATGAAAGAATTTGGCAAAAGTGCAGAAAGAAAAATGGTTAGTCATTCAAGAGGAAAATTTTGCCTTAAGCTAGGAATGAAAACTGATTAGCTAAATTTGTCTATAAAACCTGAATGAATGATTAATGTATGGATATTTATACAAAAGCTAATAGTCTGAGAAGTTACTTAAGTATAAGTGATACTTGTTTGTGTTTAATTTAATAAAGTATAATTTTTATGGAAAAATTAAATGGTAGAATTATATTAAACTTGAAAAATGTTTTTATAGAGTATCAGAAAATAATTCTAATATTTTCATTAAGATATTCTTGGTCAAGAAAAGTAATTCATGGGAAGGTGAAGGGGAAAAGAAGGGAAAAGTGGATGTAATACAAAGGAAATAAGATTAGGTTGTGGGAAAGAAGCATGGTAGGAGAGTAGAATCCAAAGGTATTAATGAACTCTCAAATTGGAAAGAGAATGAAAGAATAAATATGCATTCTGTTACAATGCTGTGCAAGTACATAGAAAAGTAACTAAAATAATAAGAGATTTTCATGTTCTCTACCACTTTTATATATCTTGACTTGTAACACAAATCCTAAAAGGTCTTATTAATGAAAAAAACCTGGAGCCAGATATTGGGGTGAAAGCTAAAAGATCAGAGAATCGGACCAAACCAGTCACATTCTTACCTCTATGAAATCCTCAGCCTCAAGAGAGAGACTTCCTGCCTTATATACCTTTCTATGCTCTGCCATCTTCTTTCCTTCCTAGTGCTGGGATTAAAGGTGTGTATCACCTTGCCTGGCTTTGTTCCCATTGTGGCCTTGAACTCACAGAGATCTGGATAGATCTCTGCCTCCTGAATGCTAGGATTAAAAATATGTGCTATCACTGCCTGACTTCTATGTTAATATAGTGGCTGGCTTTGTCCTCTGATCCCCAGGCAAGCTTTATTGGGATACAAAATATATCACCACATTTCCTATATAATTACAATCCTTTAAATTTTTAACAGTATTTCTGAAGTAATTAATTAGATTTACTTACAACAGTAAGATTTTCTACTTTTATCATTTTAAGAAATCTAAAACATATATTTCAATAGGTATTAACACCACATCCTATAAAACAAATTTTTCTACTGAAGTAACTTAAGCTGAAAGTTTTTCTGCTCACAAAATATTATACATATATGATGTACATATATTTCATTATTTGGTTTAAAATAATTTTTCAATGGTCATATTTAAACTAAGCATTAAAATTTCTAATATATGCACATATTATATATTTTATATTGAACAATAAACTATTTCTAAATAGCATCTCAAAATTATTACTTGTGTTAGGCAAGGCTCTCTGTGGTAATGGAACTTATGGAATGAATCTTTCTACATAGAAAGAGATTTATTAGAATGGCTTGCAGGCTATGGTCCAGCTAATCCAACAATGGGTGTCTATGAATAGAAGGTCCAAGTATCTAGTAGTTGTTCATTCCAGAGGCTGGATGTCTCAGCTTGTCTTCAATATACCCTGGAATCTGGAAGAAGTAGGTTCTAATGCTAGTGAAGGAATAGACTTGCTAACAAGCAGGCAAAGAGCAAAAACTTCCTTCTTCCATGTCCTTATACAGGCTTCCAGCAAAAGGAATGTCCCAGATTAGAAGCAGGCCTTCTCACTGCAAAAGACTGGATTAAAGATGTGTCCTCCCACCTCAAAGATCCATATTAGAAGTAGGTTTTCCCACTTCAAATTAAGCAAAAATCCCTCACAGGTGCGCCCCATTTTTGTGCCTTAGTTAATTCAAGATACATTCAAGTTGACAACAAAGAATAGCCATCAACCTAATTAACATTCAAAAGTACAGAATTTTACTTTGCATAGGTGGAAGCACTCAGTAAAAAATCTCTTATTTTAGATGGAATCCCCCAGACCCATCAAATTTTCAGACAACCAGCAATATATCTAAGGTAGGTGTTCTCTATAATGTGAGGAGCTTCATTTCCTGGCTCTTCTTTAGGCAGTTAATTATGGACATATTGAACCTACAGGGATTAATGTTGATCATAATGCAATATTCAATAATTCCTCAACCCTTAATTTCTCTAGAAAAATCTAGAAATAGTGAAAAATGTGTAATTGAATCTAGAAGTAGTAAATAAAGTGCAATATAGGATGATATTGCAAAGCCCTCTTTCTAACATGCTTTTCTATTCAGTTAAAGGATTGTTCAGTACAGTAACATAGCTAAGTATGAAAAGTGTTGGCAAGCCATGAATAAGTTGATTACTGGATATGTATCCCTCAGATTTTGAAATTATTGGTGGCATAGATCATAAGACTCATTATTCCAGTCCAGGCATGTCAGTTCTCTGTATATTTTACAACTCTGCTTCTACTGATTATTATGAGATTCATAGTTTTCTTCCCCGTAATAAAATGTTACAGATTCCATTTGCCTCTACTCTCTTGAGCCCAAAAGTAATCAGGAAGTGATTTCATCATAATTCTAAATTATGTGGCCTCAAGTATAGATATCAGAAATTATGAAACTTTCAAAAAATTGTACTGTCCTTATATTTTTTCTTTGATGCTATGAAGAAAATGTCTTTTTGCTCTTCCTGAAGATGCAAGCAGTGTAAGTTGTATGGGTTTTTAACCAAACTCCATTTTAGTATTACTATTTGTGAGTTGTTGAAATTTTTATAATGGTAAATTAAGGAATCCTCAGTGGACCACATTTCATTCCAAATTTGTTAAATTAATTGATGAAGGTTAAACACCTGTGCCAGTGCGCAATCTGCAATCCCATATTTATACCATGCTGAATACAAAGTTTACATGCTTCTTTATCAGGAATGCATAAAACTTACTCTTATACTTATTTCTTCATGATTTTTCTAATTTAAATAGATAATCATGGGAAAGTCATATTCCAGAAATATTTTGCCCCTGCTACTAATGAGATAATTGGTTCCTAGGAGACTGATGGAATGTTGAACACATGGAATGATGCTTGGGCCAGTTCTCTTTTGTTTATCTAATCATTCCAATACTCAGCATTTCTCAAGTCCCCACATACATTTGTCTCATTTATTCAAAGGACAAGACAATAAATTTAACAGCTCATGTAAACCAGGAATTCAATGGGAAATATTT